GAGAAGCCGCTTGTTAAATTTTAAGTTACTATAATGGCCTCTGGGTAGTGAGCTAGCTTATTGGTGCAAAAGCTGAGATGCTTAATTAGAAACAGATTCCAAGAAGCAAGAAGATGTTTGAGGAATTGGTACCGACAGCCCTAAAGGAAAGAAGATAGCAAAAGCCTTAGGTTTGTTAATTACCAAAATCAGCATCTGATCTGAAGTTGGTGTTTTAATTGTTCAAAATAGCTAGGTAAGGAGATCACCTCATCCATGCCAGCACTGACTTTCAAATCACCCAAATCATAATATCTCTCAAGCTTATTTGAAGAAGCTGAAGTTTGAGGGGTGGTGAAGGACATTGAAGAAGAAAATGGATACCGAGTCATAATAAAACTGCGGTCGAGAAGAGTTGTGATCGCCATCAAATTTTATCATGTTCTTATCCCCCTGCAAAAGATGGAAACTTTGTTAATTTGCCAAAATGAGCCACTATGGTTAAAGAAGGATAAGAAATTTGGAATGATAATTACTGCATAGGAGTTAAAGATGAGGTCGGCATGGCAGGGGTGAATGAATTTGTCCTCACTGGCATGCCCAAATAGAGCAGGCATGAATGTTTTGGGCGCTACCTGTGAGAATCAAAAGGCATTAATGCCTTTATATCATCCAGGAAATAAAGAACACAACATATTACTGAAAAATGGGTGTGTGAACATGGAAATAGTATATCTGATGCAAATAAGTCACATACAATCCCAAAAATTAGGCATTGTTTTTTTTTTTTTTTTGTGGGCGTACTATAAGAACAATGGTAGGATGATATGATCTCAACATCTAACGGTCTAAGAAACAAAGACAAACCTTTAGGCAGTTAAGATCCATAATATCAAATTTTGCCTTCTTCTGAATCACCCATCGCATGCACTGCACCGCCATCTTAACCTGATTGCAATAAAATGTGTAAAAAAGTTACATTTGTATATGCCAGACATTAAGGGAAATAAAACAAGTTTTGAAACTCCAAATAACCTCATATTGATTGGTTATATATGATTAACAAAGATGAAACTAACAGCATCCAAACCCCAAAAATTACCTGAGGCCACACTAGAGAAATCCTCAAAGACACAAATGGTAAGGAAAATAACAGAATAAACATTCAAGGTTTAGAAACCTAGTCAAATACATGGTTACAAGCGTAGCATGCAGTATTTATAACTTGGAGATTGATCGTTGAAAATGCTGCATATACTTATCCAAATCAGAAGGAAATGCAAATTACAAGACTAACACCAATAAATTGCAGAAGTAACAGAAAGATCAACACCAAACAAAACAATATATCAAAAGTATTGGTGCAAGGACAAGTGCAAGAGCTTCCAACAGTAAGGCACAAAACAAAATATAGAGACAGATCCATACAGTAAATTTTGGAAGCCTGATTTTGTATACATCAACGAGTTCCATCATTAGATCAAATAAACTTGCAAAGGCACTATCCAGCACCATTCCAGCTATGGATGGGTCTTCTGCTCCATAGAGAAGGCTGAATAATATTACAGAACAACCACTTATCAATTGTGTTAAGAGTTCTTAAAAAGGTATTTATCATCTCAATTATAAAAATAAGAAAGGTACCTAGTGACTGCACCCATGGATCGTCCCCACAGGCCTGTACATGATATTTTTTTGTTGCTTCTTAGATACGAGACCACTACTTTGAGGTCATCTCTCTGTCATAGGGGAAAAGAAGGCATACAGAAAACAAGAGAGGCCAAGTTACATAAGGACTTAATAGAGAAGGGATGTACCTCATGCCAACCAAGGCTCACATAATCACCATCAGATAAGCCAGAACCTGAAAAATCAACAGCAAAAACAGTGATATTTGATGGAAGAAGAATTACAGCAGCCTCATTTGCATCTGCTCTACATCCGCTGCATTTTTGTGCAAGTTGGTAATTGAGTAAGTTTTCTGCCCTTGTGCACTATCTAACAATTACTAATTTAGGCAAAGGACGAGGAAACACAATGCACTGTTAAATACGCATATAGTACATTTCACTGCAAATCTAGATTTTATAACTAAGCCCAAGCTGACTTTGATGTTGAAATAGAGCACCTTAATCCCAAACCAGGATAAAGGAGAAGACTTTTAGTACAATGACAGCAAATGTAAAACCACTTTTAACATATGGATGTAGATGTCACAGAACCCTAGTGCTGCATTGCATCAGACCCCCGATGTTGGGCTATGGTGCTGGGTGTTTATAAGAAAAAAGAAGAAGCCACATTGGTGCCTAAATGTGGTGAGAAATAGAAAATGGTTCTCATTTATTAGTGGAGAGGTGCGGGTAAGGAACCTAGCTGGAGACTAGGATTGGTTTCAGGACATCAAAAACCAGATCTTTGACAAGAAAGTGAACAAAGTCAGTGGATATGATGGCTGGGAAGAGAGCCAACATGGCTTGCCTCTGGTCAATTAAGTCACTGAAAGAAATGCATGTAGAATGGAAAACCAGAGTATAGACTTAAAAACATATTATACTGAAATGAATAGCAATAAGGTAATGGTCTAAGGCATCCCAAGGAGCGTGAAGGTTTTGAAGCTGAGTAGCCTGATAGCACAGGCAAATTGATTTGTTCGATTCAGCCCATCTTTTTGCAATTTAATCTATGAATGCATCAGTGATTTGATTTGAAATAGAAGCAAACAATAGATTTGGCCAAAAATGAAAACTAATTACAACATTTTTATAGAAATTTGATCATATACAGAATATAACGAACCAAAAAAGGAGATCCATGTAGCCTACCTAATTAGTTTGGAACTAAGGCTTATTTAAGCTGAGTGACGAGACTATATAGAAGCAAAACTACATGGAACTGTCAGAATAATTTTTGCCTACCTGTTTCCATGGCAGTATATAACGCAAGGAAGGGGAGTATCTTCAGGGAAAGGTGAAGGCAGGTAATGGCTGCATCGCAAGGTATGACCCCTTGCATTGGTAAGCTGCAAACAATTAAAGACATAGAGTTAAAAATGGCAGTAAATAGGAACGATAAAAGTGAAAATTAGTGTGAACTAATGATGCCCATATTTGCCTCCAAGTCTTGTCTCTTGAATGCTTAACCAGCAAGAGTGAAAGCCTTCTCCCATAAATATTGATCTGGGTTATAATCCGCCCTGTACAAGAATATATGGAGCTCAGCCAAATACATCATCAATGACAAGAAGAAGCATATTTTGATTAAAGGGAAAAAAAGTAAACAGAAATAGTAAGCAAAGAAGGGTACCTGGGAGGACGAATTACAAAATGGATGAACTGACCAATCATATCATAGAACTAAACTTGGTTTCTAATTGGGCATATCCAAAAGTATATCCTCCCCTTCAAAAATGTAGCAAACTTGAGCCAAAGTCAGTGAGCAAGCAAGTGAATGATGATGAGAAACTGAACTCAACCACCCATATACTTGTCTATTTTACCCCACGCCACTTTCAGGGGTTTTTTTTTTTAGGAGTAAGAGACTGTGACAGTGAGGAAAACAGAAAGCAAGAGAAAAGAAAAGCAAAAGTTTATCAGGGGATCTCAAAAGGAAGGAGTGATGGCCTTTAAAACCTGGAAAAATAAAATTTCAATTCTGCAACTAGTTGAGCCAACTCATCGTCCTTGCAATGGAGAACGGAAAAAAGAATACCAAATTCAGATCTTAGAACATTAAAGACATCAAACAACAAACACTTATTCCTACTTGACCAGGTAAAAGACGAAAAAATGAAAACTTGATAAGAAAGGGTTTCCTTTAGACCTTGAGAGAGAGAGAGAGAGAGAGTTCACGTCTTTACCAAAAACAAAAATGTAGATTAAAGAGAGCCATAGAGAAGGAGGAGGAGTGTTTTGACCCCGTTGCTTGCTGCGTGGGATGTAGTTGGGTCGTCGCCGGACACTGGGGATGGGGGAGAGAGATAGAGAGGCACAGCTTACAACAGTACTTTCTACGCTTTTGTTTGATTGATTGTTTTTCTTCTACCTCTGCTTCCTTTTGCCCTTTTCTTTTTTATATAACAGTAGTAAGTGTGTTCTATTCATTCATCTACATTACTGAATAAATAAATAAATAAGAGAAAGTGACACCAAATTTTTATTCCATTTTAGGATTTTTCTTGCATCTACCTGTTTCAGCCATTGCCAGCTTCTGCGTGTCTCCGTCCTGTCCTTTTTTTCCTTTACCGATGCTCCTCCTAGGACGACGTTATTCTGTTGTTGTAGTATTTGTTGTATGATTAGTTATTTTATTTCTTTACTTCTTTTCTTGGACAGCTAACCAACTGACCATTCACATCACCTTCCTTCCCCCGTTCTCTCCTTTTTTGTTTTTTTTTTTTGTTACGTTGTACTAGTACACAACTACAATATTGTTAGATCATACTACTACAGTAAAAGTGCGCTGGTGGTGTTTCAAATTTTAATAAAGAAAAAGTAATAATAAAAAAGCAACAACAAATTTCCGAGCTTTTGAAAAAGAAATCTATGTTCTTGGTGGAGTAGAAACATGGATTTATTTATGCATATCTCCAACCTAGCATGTATGGCATAAGAAGGGGGTTGAATTGAAAAGGGATTTTTCCCATCTAGGACCAGCTCCTTTGCCCTTCACAAGTCATCCAATCTAATCTAAAGTATAGTTTAGGTTTTATCATACATACGGTCCCCAGTTAAAGCAGCCCAGTGACTCCAATGTCCTATTTTCTTACAATCCTAGATGATCCCCAAATTCAGTTTACCTCCTCTAACTGGCATTTAGTTTCTGGTTAAGCATTATGAAGGCACAGATCTAACGTAGTAATGTAAATCCAAGTCAAACAAACTCAACCTGCCATCGCCATCACTTTATTTTGGCACCCATGAGCATGAGAGCTCCCAAGGTCCCCTTGATGCTAACGAATGACGCCTATCCTTTCACTGTTAAGTTTGGTGTCCCCATTTAGTTTACATACGTGGGCACTTCAGTGTAGTAAGAATCAGATTAGCATTATATACGAATACAGTCGACATCTGATCTGTCATTTAAAAAACAACATTATACAATACAGAGATGGACACACATCAGATCAACAGAAATCCTTACACATCTCCAGTGACACATCATTGCTTTACATCTTTCCACGGTATTGTAGAAGGTTTCTTGGGTCGGAGGATGATATTGTCTTCTCAAACTGCACCAAAGATCATGAATAATTAAAAGAGGAGGGCATATTTGGTTCGGCCCATAAGGAGTAGATTTTTTTATCATCACGAACCCAAAGACAGGATCTTGTTTCTTTTTGGAGAGGAGGGTTGAATGTCAAAGTTTTGGGCTATCACTTGGTTTTACAATGTCCTGAAGCTTCCACCCACCAAGTCCCGCGGAAGCAAATGCCTAAGAGTGTAAGACATCAGATCAGGCTAAGATAAATGAATATTTTAAAAAAAATAACAGCAAACAGTTTCACCTTATGTAATTGAACCATATATAGCACTGGCAAGCAACAATTCTCAAACTTCACAGCCCCTCCCCAGTCATTTCTAAGTTCATTAGACCACTACTAATTTCTTGAACCCTGTAACAGGTAAAAGCTTCAATAATTCTTCTCCATCTGCCTCCCTAAAACATGCTTTTTTCTGCAGTTTTTAATTCTCAATTTAACAGAACTCCATATCTAAATTCATACTTTCATTATTTAGAAACATTTCTATCTATCTGCTAATCATGGAAAGAGGACACTTGCAAGAACCAATGTTCTAAAGCACTGCCAATACACATGCAGGAACTAAATATTTTCTAGGGGGCATTGCTTGTTTGATAGCAGGATGAAGGGCAGCATGCCAGCAAACTCACATTTGAAGTGCAATTTTAAAGGTTATATTGAAACTTTGACTACCACAATCATCAAGCATCATAAAATAGTTGGGTATACTGAGAATAATAGGAGCATAAATGGGGTGGGCACTATTGCTGAGAAGGGCTTAAAACTATAGGGGTTAAGAGAATTGAGAATAGGGTAATCTTGGTTAAATCAGCACTTTGAGAAGAGATGACTAATGCGGCCAACAATTATGTCCCAGAAAGAGGTTTGGATGAGGACACTAAGCATAGATAAGCATGTCTTGCAAGGGCCACGATAATCGTGGTAGGATAATCTCAAGGTGTTATTCTGAAAGGAGACGGCTAATCTTTAGCAATTATATCCCATGAATAGGATATAGCATCAATCAGAAACCTTTCCAATTTTGCATTGCTTTGACGCATAGAATGAGAAGGTCACTGAACTAATGAATGCCAGGCATGAAAAGAAAAATAGCGAGTCTAACCTCTGCCCAGGATTTCCCAGCAGCTTCAAGCAAAGCAGCATTGCATGTATTTAGCTCTACGGAGGCACCAGAGAACATAGAGGCAGCCTCCTCCCACCCCTTATTATGCCCCATGCACCTGTATAATTGACTAAGAATCAGCATAGTTTTTCCAACTTTCTATAATCCCAGTTTGTTCCAGAGATAAACAAGGCAATGAGATTTAAGGTGCAAACAGCATCCAATCAAAATGCCTAAAGCCATAATTTCTTAGCACACTCCATTTCTTCTTTTCTTTCCTTTTTTTGTCTTCTCTATAGCCAATTCTCAATATGCCAGGCATGAGTCAATTATCTCCTAAGAGTCTACGTTTAAGAAAATCATCATCTTTGTTTGTTTCTTGGCAGGATAGATTACAAAATGCATTCAAATCGCCTTTAGAAGATTGAGAAAATCAAAGAAACAAGACTAAAGAATTTATCTTCTAACCAATGGAAGAAACTTTTTCCAAATCATATTGCCAACTTGTTATCAAGGGAGTGTAGCACACTTATTTAATATACAAATTGCATTGAAATTGAAGAAAGAAACAGGACTAAATTGATCTTCCGACAGAAGAAAGAAACTTTAACCAAGGCAATTGGCAGCAAAAAAATGCGGCAGTACACACGTGCTAGCTAATCCTTGGGGTGAAAGTGAAGGGAATATTAACAGCAAAGAAATTGACTCACATGACAGTAAGAATGTCATCCCTTGAGTAATTGCAGATAGCTTGCTGAAGATGGTCGGCAGTCTGACCATCCATAGCTGCAATAGAATAGAAACTTGAAATGAAATGAACCTCTGCATCCAAAAAGTCTGGTACTTGTTGCTGCATTATTTTAAGTGTTTCCTTGGTTCGCAATGCATCACTGTCATCAGTCATTTTTTACTGAGTATGAATATCATTAATTATTGAAGTATGTATTAGTATGTTGTTAGGGTGGAGAGAGAAGAGAAATGAAAGATACGAGAAACCCACCTAGACAAAATAAGTTGGGGTATCCAACCCAAATGTTGGAGCTTTTGAGAGACTTTGGCAGCATCAAGCTCTCCACTTTTACTCAGTGGCCGGTCATGATCTATTTTTTTTTATTAACACAATTAGGAAGAAATTCATAGATATAGCAAACAGAAGATTAACTGGCCGGTTTATGTTTAAGACTAAGGAAATCAATGAGAAGAAAAATGGGATTGTTAAGAGCAGATAATTATTTATCGTTAGTAGATAGTGGGTGAGAGAGAAAGAGAGAGAGACCTCGAAGTGAACGGTCATCCCAGGAGCTCTTAGCATGACGAAGCAAAATAAGGCGACGGTGAACAGATAGCGTATCAGTATCAGTATCAGCATCAGCATCAGCATCAGACACGGTGGAGGCCGCGGTAGTAGATGTGTCTTGTATGACCATGCTGGGTTGCAAGGACCTTGTTCGGCGGCGGCGGCGGCTAGACCTGATTGAAGAAATGGGAGACGGTGGTGGTGCTGGTGCTGGTGCTGGTGCTGGTGGTGTTGGGGAAGGGCAAGGGCAAGGACAAGGACAAGGACAATGACAAAGCTTCATCGTCAACATTAACGGGATTTTTATGCTAGTGGTAATGTTGGTTAGAGGGAGTGCTGTATTCGCATTCATCCCCCTTCCCTTCACTTCAATCCAGTTCACTTGCTCTTCTACTTTCCGATAAATAGTAATCAGCTTTGGAATTCGAGGAGTAACATTACATAAATTAATCAACCCTGTAGTCTGTAGAGAATGAAGGAGTTTTACTTTTACAGATGAGATGGCCCAGATCATATGATATGGATGAGGCCTTTTTCAAGACAAACAATGAAACCTAGCAAGCCCAGTTACACTACTAGGAAGAATGGGATAAGGGCAAGTTTTACATTCCTTTGGTAATCATAAAGTCTTGATCTTTTTCCCCTCAATTGTCGGGGGCATAAATGTAAGATGTTATTATTTAACTCTCTGACCGGTGCGTCTCACTCTCCCTTCGCCTGTCTATTTTAGCTAGGCCTCCTCCTTTTTCTCTTCTTCCTACAATGATGATGGTAAGTGAACATGACCTTTGATGATTTGATATTACCATAAGATGGATTTGGTTTTTGGTGGGCAATTGCAATTACTATTTATAAGTACTGACCCTGCCTTCCCTACTTTTGTTTTTTTCCCCCTTTTTTGGATGCGTTATTGTTGCAGAAGGTTCGATTGAGTCAGACGCAGATCACGTCTTAATCCAAAGAGATCTCATACCAACAATCTGCTTTTTTTCGTTTTCCCACCGCAAAATAAATCCTTTAAAAGGTTAGCGGGAATTCAGCACTGATTGGTCTTTTATTAATTGTTTTGCTTCTACTTGGATGCTGCATATACATGTGATATATTAGTTCTATGTAATTTTGGGCAGCAAAATGCGAGTGTAAATGCTCTGGTTATTTGGTCTTTAAAGCACTTGAGACTTCTTTACTCATTGTCCGATGGGCTTTGTGTATATTTCGAAGAACTCCTCCTTTCAAGAGAGTTGTAATTTTGAGATAAATTTTGGATGCAGCTTTTCTAGGCAAATGAGATTGTTCATATTTAGTTCAGGTTTTAACAAGTTTTTAAGATTCCCCGAGTTGGGCTTTTTCTTCCTAAAGTTTGTTGGATTCAAAGGAGTTTGCTAGTGAGTTGAGGGAGTGTATCGGAGGTTGTTAATGGGAAGCATCAAGAGCAGTCTAAAGAATCTAAATGGTTGAAGTGTTTTTTTTTTTTTTTTTTTCAGTTGGAATAATTTTACTGTATTTCCTTTTTAGTGGTTCACTTTGGTGGATGTATAAGAGTACTATCATTTATGTGCTGAGTCCATTTGTTAAAGAGGAATAAATATAATTTAGAATTATGATTTCCTTCTCCTTAATTTCTGTTGGCTCAGCTGTAAATTTGATCATCGGTTATGTCCCAGTACCAAGGGGATGAAATGGATCACGCGGTTGATGACTATGAGATCGCAGAAGTAGATGATGATGTCTATTTTCATGGCAGATTCATGGCTGATTCAGAGTCAGAGGATGATGATGATGATGATGAATATGATCATTTGGTTTGTTCAATTCATACATCAGTTTCCACATTTTTTTTTTGTTATTTTTGCCATTAATGTGGAATGGGTCATTTGTTGTCCATTATACATCATCTGGCACTCTTGCTTTTGATGTGATGAAAAATATGTTGTTTATTTATTTATTTACTATCAGTTTTATTGACAGATCCTGTTTGTGACCTTTCTGTTCTTTTTTCATTTGGCCCTTGGGTGGGGGTGGGTTGTTGATTATGCAGGATAATAAGATAACGGATACATCTGCTGCAGATGCTCGGAAGGGAAAGGATATCCAGGGAATTCCTTGGGAAAGATTGAGCATTTCCCGAGAGAAGTACCGACAAACAAGGTTAGAGCAGTACAAGAACTATGAAAACGTACCCCAATCAGGAGAAAGTTCAGAGAAGGTAGAATCTATTTTCTCCCTAGTTTGTGGTGCTATTGGACTACTAGATACAGTTGACCCTTCTTTCTCACTTGCTTTTATTTCAACCGTCTCCAGGAATGCGAACCTATTAAGAAGGGGGGGATGTTTTATGAGTTCTGGCACAACACCAGATCAGTGAAATCTAAAATCCTTCATTTCCAAGTATGCTGATATTTTTGTCCCATCAGCTTGAATTGAACTATTTTTTAGCTGTATGATCCACTTGATAACATTTTCTTTTCTTACATAGTCATGATGTCTGATCTCCATGTGTTGGTGGGTTTGGGGGGGTGGCTGGATGGTGGTGAGATGCTGAAGGATTCCATCTTTAAGCCTGAGATGAGATGATTTAAGGACATAGTATTGAGACATTAGCTAATGATTGGCAACTCAGGGTTTATTGGAACTTCGGTATCTTAGGAGCCAATCTTGTAGGCTTTTTGGGAAGCTAAGATTTTAAAAGTATGCAAAGAATTGAAGAAAGGAGCTAGATGTTAACTAATTTAGAGACTTTTGATCATTTGAAGTGTTTTGAATGCGGAAAAAAACTAAAAATGCGAAGGTTTTAAAGAATATTGTTCAAAAGGCTACTTTATGTATTTGAAAACTGTTGTTCTGGCATTGCAGTTGCGAAACTTGGTTTGGTCAACATCAAAGCATGATGTCTACCTCATGTCACATTACTCCATCATTCACTGGTCATCATTAAGTTGCAAAAAAAATGAAGTCCTTAATGTTTCTGGGCATGTGGCACCTTGCGAGGTATATAAATCTTTTGATGTCTTACAATAGAACATCCCACAATGTAGTCAAATGCTTTTCTTTCTTTCTTTCTTTGTGAAGTTGCGGTAATAACTTCTTTGTATGATAGAAGCACCCGGGAAGCCTCTTAGAAGGATTCACACAAACTCAAGTTAGTACACTGGCAGTAAAGGATAGGTTGTTGATTGCTGGGGGGTTCCAGGGAGAACTAATTTGCAAGGTAATTTTTTTCATCTGTAAGTACTTTTAAGTTGCATTGTATTATTCCATAATCATTTTCATCAGAAAAGGAATTTCTTGATTGAATGAACTGAAAATGTAGAAGTCTGATATATCTGCCAACTTTTCTCTATTGTTATGCCCATACATACTTTTTTGTGGTTGTTCTGATTGGTGGTCATGTTGCATATAAATGAAAGTTGTAATTAATTAACCAACTTACCATAGCCATTTCTGTTGTGATTATGATGTTTACGATGTGTTGAGTATTTTTGGTTATTTCTGGAAGAATGTTGTATATAATGGCCAATGAGCTGTTTGCTTGCTTGTTGAGGATGCAGTATTTGGATCGACCAGGTGTTAGCTTCTGCTCTAGAATGACCTATGATGATAATGCCATCACAAATGCAATTGAGATTTATGAATGTCCCAGGTTCTTTATTACTTCCACTTCTTTGCACATTTTTTACTTTAGATGTTGGTCAAGGGACAGTGCCATTTGTTAATTCTATCTGACTTGAAGCAAACGCTGTGCAGTGGTGCAGTTCATTTCATGGCTTCAAATAATGACAGTGGAGTGAGAAACTTTGACATGGAGAGATTTCAGCAAACTAAGCACTTCTGCTTTGATTGGCCTGTGAATGTAAGTATTCCTTCTGTGAATGTAAACATTTCAGCCTAATTATAAATTTTAAGTGCCCCCATGATCATGTTATTGTAACAGATGCTCCAGGTTGTCCTCACTCCAGATTGTCCTTCCACCTTCTCCCACCTTTTAATCTTTCACATTCATGTGCTTTGATTGCACCTTGTTCCATTACTGCCAGCTAGCCTTCATCATGGTTTAAGCTCTTTTCTCTTTCTTCCAGTAACCATCCCGAAACGAGTTCCAAAAGGGTCTTAGATTTGGGAAGTTCCCCTTTTGCTTTGGGAGTATGTTGTTGATGAAGGAAGGTTTTTTGGAGCTCAGTAGGGGCTGGTGGAAGGCTTGTGAACTTATAGTTTCATTGGATCTAGTGAACCTAGACAAAATGCAAAGGTAGTTCAGGATATTTTTCAAAAGGAAATTGTAGGTATGGAATCAATAAGTTTGTGGGAAAAAGGGGGGTAGGTTCAAAGATTGAAGGAGAAATAAGTAATCTTGGATCTTGATGGTGTGAAGAAGAAAGCTGAGCTGATACATGGGAACAATGGTAAAAAGGTTTTGATGGAAGAGATTAAATGGAGATAAATATGGAGTTTTGTGATTAAAAAAAGGAGATAGATATACTAAATATTTCACAAGATTGATTTTGCCTTTTTAAGGAAAAATAAATTAGGATGCCAAAAAAGGGAGGGGTGGGATTGTGATATAAAAATTACGATCTCACCTCCTCACTTGTGAACATACATGTATGGTTTTTGATTTACTTTGTATGATACTAGTGTACAAAGAAGTCATGCTTCTCATTTGGGATTGTGATATACATTTGAGTGCATGTGCACTCATGCGTCCATGAGTGTCTATTGCATCCAGGCCTTTGGGTTGTTATGTTTTGTTGTTCTGAGTGCACATCTCTGGATGCTTTCCCCAGATTTGATCTAAAGGATTGGCTGTTTTGAGATTTTTATTTACTGAATGAGCTCATAACGTTTGAATTAATGTGTCACATGCTCTCCTTCTATGTATTAATATGTTGCTTCTGTTGACAGCACACCTCATTGAGTCCTGATGGTAAGCTTCTTGTCATTGTCGGTGACAACCCCAACGGGATACTGGTGGATTCTCAAACAGGAAAGGTAGCCTGCTGCATTTGTTAAAACATTTTTATTATTGTTGTTGTTGAATCCTTTGTTCTTAGAGCTCAAAAGACCTGTTTGCATTCTCGGATGCGGGCAGCTTCATTTAATTTGACGTCCTTATTACTGCAGCCCATTATGTCTTTATGTGGCCACGTGGATTTCTCATTTGCATCTGCTTGGCATCCTGAGGGCCGCATTTTTGCCACGGGGAACCAAGACAAAACCTGTCGTATTTGGGATGCTCGGAACTTGTCAAAGTCTGTTGCTGTGCTGAAGGGCAATCTAGGAGCCATTAGATCAATTCGTTTTACATCTGATGGGCAGTTCATGTCAATGGCAGAGCCAGCAGACTTTGTGCATGTCTATGATGCGAAGAATGGGTTTGAGAAAGAGCAGGAGATCGATTTTTTTGGGGAGATATCTGGTGTGTCTTTTAGCCCTGATACAGAAGCCCTCTTCATTGGAGTGTGGGATCGCACCTATGGAAGCCTCCTGCAGTACAACCGACGCAGGAGTTACTCATATGTCGACTCCCTCATGTGATTATCAGTCTG